CTTTCCCTTTCCAACCTGCTGCTCTGCTTTCTGCCTCCAGCCCCGGGCTCCCTGCATGACCAGCTGCTCTGCTTACTGCGTCCTTCCATTCTGCTTCCTTCCTTCCCTGTACTTCCTGCCCAATTTGCTGATTTGCTATTTGCTTTTTGGGGAATGCTAACTCCTCCCTGATCTTCCACGTACACTCACACAGGCTGCCCGTGCCACTTGTGGTGCCTTTGCTGCAGGTTGGCCACCCCTGAGCTAAAGGATTAGAAGGGCATGTCTACAAAGTACCATGCAGTCTGTGTTATTACTACCCTTTTCATAGGGAAGGCTATAAATACTGCGGGTTCCCCTAGCGCAGCCCAGGACTGGGCTGGGTTTCACAGCTATACCTCATGTCACCTTCACAGCTATACTTCCAGCTGCACTTATCCAGCTGATATGCGGGCTCCTCGCCTATGATGTTTCATTTTTTATTGCTGCCAACAGACAAATATTGCTGCACCCCACGTCCTTTTGGCTTTGCTGCCCATCTGTATTGTGTGCCACACAGTGCAATGATCCTCACTATTGATCCACTGGCCACGCCAGCATGGCGGTTACTCACACACTAGGTTTTCCAAGGCCTCCAGAGGTATTCCCCATGGGCAGCAGGGATAAAAATGAAGGAGACAACACTGCAAAAAGCTTGTTGATAAGAAATTCTCTATCGCTCAAAATCACAATGCTGACAGGTGAGGCTGTTTGATGTTTGCTTCAGAAGATTAGGTCGCGTGGGTATTTCTGAAGTTCTGCAAATGCCCGGAACAGATGCTCCCTTGTTTTGCCAGCTCTTTTCAACACTAAATATTTATCATTTCACACTTCAGCTTCCTAAGTTTTAATTTCACGCTGCTGCCGTAAGCGCAATGAGCAGGATGAAAACTACGAAGGACGTAAACAAGAGAGATGTGTCGCAAAGTCCCACCCGAACGCAAATATGTACATACCACATCCATTCTTGAAAAAATTCTGTTTGATCCTTTCTAACTTGTCTGCTAATAAACTTTTACGTCTGAACAGCTCTGCTGGCATTACTCTTAGGAGTCAGAGCAATGAGTGGTCAGTATATGGAAACAGAGAAGAGACTTCTAGATGGATCTAGTGTCTTGAATCCTTTGATTTGTCTTGAATCGTCTAAGAGAGCAGAACAATTTGCAGATGTGTTTTCCCAGCCTCATTCTCTCTATTTTACCTTCCACTGCTAAACTCCCTTTTGCTGCCTACTCCTGATGAGGGTTTTAGAAACAACCAAGGAAGATGCTACATTAGAGCAGATCTTGGACATCTTCAGGTTCCTGGAGGTCTAGACTGATGCCCAGTGTTTTCCACACCATCAGTCCATCTTCTCCATTGCTGAGTTGGGACTTAGAAAGAGCTGTCCTCTTACGGCAGAGGTAAGACAAGCCAGCCTAACTACATGTCAGAAGCTGCTTCATCGCGATCCTTTCAAACTGTTGTGCTCTCCGCTCACCTGATACTTTCTACAGTTACGCTCGCTCGGCCCGTAAAGCACAAGATCCTATAAGCCCAATATTTTCTGTGACTAAGCTCTTGGCAAATATGCTCCAAAGAAGTCATTCAATGCTCGAATCCTACATTAGAGGGAAACTCTGCTGGTCAGCAAAGTTATGCTGACAAAGATATGGACATCATTGGGTGCATTTATGTGCGCAATTAATGCAAAGCAATAAAATCTGGTGCATACTGCGCCAGAGTTTATTGCTCCTGGGCACCGTGATTACTTGTGCGCTAGGGGCTGCACCACGTTGAGCTAGGTCAGGGGGCCAGCCTGCCAGCCTGGGGCTGCTCTGACCTGGATCAACATGCTGCAGAGGGGCTGGCTGGGGCACGAGGGTACATCAGTGCAGGGCCAATTAGCAGGCAACCTCTGCACTGAGGCAGCCCGGTCAGCATCTACATGTGCATTGCTGTGCAGTATATAATGCTGCTATAGGTTAATATTTGTATTTACAAGTACTATGGTGGCGCTTATTAATTTACTGTGACCTAATAAGGCTGCATATGTAGATGTGGAGACTTTATTGAGGAGCTAATTAGGCAGCTTCATGATAAATATGTCCTGTAGATGCATCCACTGTGTTTCCAGATAAAACATAGATATTGCATGTGGCAGTTTACTTAAAAGCAGTCTAAGAATAGTTCATTACTGGGAAAAGGTAATGTTCAACTGGAATTGAATAAGCAAGGCTCCGGAGAGACCGAGAGGCCCTCAGTTGATTCCATGCACGATCTGAGTGCAGGAAAAGGAGATTGATGCTGCTCTTATGCTAGAGCTGGTCTGCAGCCAATCTGTCTCTCTGTATAAGTTAATGAAGCTTCACGGCTGGTCTAACCGAGATGACCAAGACTCTAAGACACCAGCGTGCTAGGCTGTTACAAGCATAGCCTTGCGGGGGTCTTAGATGATGGGAATTCCCAAGTGAACACACCTGCCTGCCTTGCAGCCTCTTTGCACCCCTGCAGCAGCACAAAGGAGGCGGCAGAGTGGGACCGAGTCTTAGCGATGGAGAAGAGGGTTCTGCATCCGTCCGTGCACTTGTTCGGGAATGGGTGTGGGTGAATCCATCACTCTCCCCACCGATCTCTGGTGCATGTTATGTTCCCCTTGTGCTCCTTGGAGGGCAAACTGTGCAGCTCTGTCTAGTGTTTGGGAACAAGAAATACACACATCATTGTGCCCAACATTTACCTAGAGTCATTTGGTGCAAGCTAACATGGGCTAAGGCAATCCTTTAGCCACCTGATTCCTCAGAGGTACGTGTTTCCAAAGCACCAAGCAAAGCTACGCCTAGATCGAGAATGAAATGCTGGCAGCTGGGCTCAACTGGGAGCTTGCACAAGGCATTTGCGAGCACAAACTAGGCAAGATGGAATCACAACCCATCCTCCAAGTGGAAGAGGTCCAAGCTGGCTTTGAAACCTTATACCGAGACCACTGTGATTTACACCCCGATAGCACTTCCAAACCATACGGACATTTACCAAAGTCAATGGCGAAAGAGCACTGGCACTTCTGGGCTTGCAGGCAACAGACAAAGCCATGCTGAGAAACAGTCCCACACGCTGAGCATCAAAGCTTCAGCAGCATGACAGGCAGGGATCAACTGAAGATAGCAGAGGGCAGCATCAACTGGTGGAGAGGTTGTTGACAGGCTGATTGGGAGGACATTTCTTTGGCACCCCTCTTTTATCCTGCCAAGCAATAAACTGCTCTAGGATTCCCAACCCTGTGCACCTATTGTCATTTCAGTCCTTTCTTGTGTTGGAAGTGAACACTGCTAAGCCAATCTTGTAGACGGTAAAATGAGTCACAGAAACGTATATGGTGATTAGTTTTGGCATCTCAGACAAATACTAACACTATCTCTGCATTTTCAAGTTTAGTTTCTGTCCGACAGGTCTGAACTATAAGGGACTCCCAATATTTATCTGCCTGCCCGCACCACTTTATTTCTATGCTTTTAAATGCCTGGGAGGAGTTGTGTACAAGTATATGGGAGCAACTTTGTGATTGTTTTTAAGATGATCTGTGCCCAGCTTGTCATACATTTAAATGTCAGGAACAGTGGGAAAGTTTTACTGCACAGAAGATTTTAGCCAGAAGGACACTGAAAGGTTGGTGATGAATCATGACTGTAAAAAGGTGTCATTTTAAAGCACCTATAACTTAAAAACTGGGATTTTTTTTCTGTTTGAAAAAACAAAACAAAACAACCCTATTCTTGAATGCCATGAAAATACTGTCAGAAACAGCTCTTCTGCACACAAGATGTATGAGAACTGAATACAGCTTATAGTGGAAAGGTGGCTGTGACATGGACCTCTTACTGAGTGGGTTCCTATGCAGGGTTTTTTTTTTTTTAGGCCTAACACTCAACAATTGTTTGGCCAATTTTGTTTAAACTTTGCAAGAAAATATCTCCTTTCTGTTTAGAAAATATATAGCGAACTTCAGGCCAACCCCTGCTTCTCAGCTGGAGTTATGCAACTAGATGAAATTAGGGATTGTAAGGAAACCTGGTTACAACCTGAACTATAGGGAGAGGATTGCTTCTCCTCAAGTAAATGTGTAAATGTTGCCGCCTAGTGGCTGACAATAAAATGAAGAAGACTAACGATATATCTGTAGATTTCCAAGTCTTAGAAAACTGGAAGCGATGAGATGCGAGAGAACTTCAAGTTCAGTGCTAAGAGATACGCCCTGAAAAGTGTTGGTAAAAAGAACTCAGTTCCCACCAACTGGCTCCTAAAGATCTCAGTACTTTTTCCGAGAGACTGAGCTACATAGCTTATATCTTCACAAACAAGAAAAATTGTTAAGGCTGGTAGATCTGAGATTTCATCGGTGTGACTGGTAAGGACATAGGCAGCTAAATCCTTCAATAGTCCATACTATTTGGGTTGGTCTAATAAAAGATATCAAATTCACACAAGGAACCTTGTCTGTCAATAGTCCATATACACTCTATTCCCAACTACCCTTTCTTAACAACATCTTCCTACTTTCCCCTACCTATATAAAGGGAAACCATAGTACCCCTACCTATATAAAGGGCTGCATTAATTTTTTCACAAGCATAATTTACTCAGCCAAGAAAAAAAAAAAAAAGTTGAAATGTTTCTAGATCTCTGGAATGTTTTGACTTTGCATTTCAACCCAATGCTTTATTTCAAAGTATGTCAACATGATTTTAAAAATGTAAAATGCATTTCCTTCATTGTACAGTTATCTGGCGCTTTACCATCCGGAATGCTCCATGAACGGCATCTGTCATAGCCGGCATCTGTTGTTTACGGCAGTGGACTGAGGCGGCAAAAACCAAACCAGAAGTCCCACCGTGGCACTTCTGGTTTCGCAGCGTCCCACTTCTTCCTTGAGGACCAGGGCCCGGGGCAAAGCAGCCTGAGCAGGGTCCCCCTAGTTGTCCCCCGGCACACTGACGCCAGGGAGTGAAAGCCCTGGCGCACTGGCAAAGACGCCTCCAACCCGCTGGAGATAAGCTCTCAGATAACCGGAATATTTGATTCACCGGCAACCCCAGTTCCCTATGGATGCCGGGTAACAGAGCTTTTACCATACAGGCAGTCCTCGACTTACAACGTTTCGAGTTACAACATTTATAAATTGACACTGTTTCAACTTATTGACGTCAGTTTCGACTTTACAACGCTCGATCCGATGTGATACCACGCCAGCGAACAAGTTCGCTGCGTCAGACATCTCCCTGGAGGACATCTGTCCAAACTTCCTTGGACACTTTCTTTAAGAAAGCAGACGAGACGCCAGAAAAACCTGCAGCCAGGACTGCTGAGAAGACTCCAGCTAAGAGCTCTTCAAAAAGTCCAGCAACGTCACCTCAAAGAAGTCCTTCCAAATCAATGAGATTGCTATTTACAATATAAATACATTAATGTAGCTATATTACTCGTGTATAATTGATCGAGTACAAAATTCTGGGGTATTTTTGGTGAAAATAAGGTATCGGGCCTTGGTTCAGGAACCGATCCCCCATTTATAACATTGTTTCTTATGAGAACGTTGGTTCTCAGTTACAACGTTTCAACTTAAGACATGGTTTTCAGGAATCAATTGTGTCGTAAGTCTGAGGACTGCCTGTATTAGATTTTTTTTAATGCAAAACAAATTTTCTCCCTACTTTTTGTCCAGATGCCAAATCAATTACTTACACAGCTCTACACACAGTCCACACACCAACTTGACAAAATCACAGCCTTGTCTCTACCCATGATACTGGATATATGGGCACGCGTTTTGATGATTAACACAGGGTGCGATGTGTTACTTCATACACAGTTCTGCCATGGCTTTATTCCTGATCATAGACCACGAAGTTGGAAAGGATCTCAAGATAATCTTCTTCAGCTCCCTGCGCAAAGATACAGGATTTTTCTATAGGTGTAAATTGCAAGTGGCAATTGTGCAAAATGTTTTATTGTAGAGTCGGGTTATCAGACTCATTTGTCCCGCAGGCCAAATGAGTGGTCTGGAGCCAGGCAAGGCCCATAAACCCCAGAGACTGTATCCTGTGTGGGATATAGTCGGGGCTTAATTCACTACAGTGTATGTAAG